GAGGCAGGGCTGGCATTTTTTAAAAATAAATGGCTGAATAGTGGAATAATAGATTTTTTTTTTAAAGAAAAGCTTTAGAGTTATTACATCATTAATGTCTTTTTTTTTTTTGAAGATTTTATTTTTAAGTCATCTCTACACCCATCGTGGGGGTCAAACTCACAACCCCAAGATCAAAAGTCGCACACCCCACCAACTGAGCCTGCCAGGTACTAGTAGTATAGTTTGGAGATACAGGAAAAAATTGAGTGAAATAAGGGAGGTTCATCTGCTTGACTATTCTGACACTTCTGAGGTAAATAAAAAGGAAAGTGATAACACAGAGATAAAGCCCGAAGTGGTACTGGCCCCGTTATGAAACCATCTACTGGAACCTCTGATGGCTCAAGTACGAAAAAAGAATTAATCCATTTTTTACATTTGGAGATTTTTCTTTCATGTTACTTTGCCTTGGCAGGACAGGGAACAGGGATTTTGCTCCAGAAAAAGTCAGGAAGATGTTTCTCGGCATGTGATGGGATGCGCAGGAACCCATCTCCTGTCTTGTTACCCTGCTGGGGTGGAGGCTGGAGACAACAGCGTCCTTGGTGAGTGAGAGGGATACCCGCAGGAAATTGCTAAACTTCGACAGGAGAAAGTTTATCGGGAAATGACATCAGAGGTCTCAGAGGACTGTGATACAGCAGACAGGAACCGGGGTGTGCAGGTAAGGGGCAGCCACTCTGCTATTGCTAGAATATGCACCCACCATGTGAGCATACTTCACCCAAGTTTAAATCTGCAACATACGTAAGTGTGTAGTGTGGCGTTTCAACCACGCCAAAGGCCCAGGAAAAACCACAAGACACAGGCATAGCTATTTCAAAACACATCCTTGGGCATGGACCAAAGATTATAACTTAGAAAGTGTGGGAGCGTCTATCTCCTACTGTTACACTATCACTGCATTTTGAAAGTGTCATAAGAACAAATGCCAAATAGTCTTAAGGCAGGAGAATAATGTGAGAGAGAGCTTGTTGCCAGTGGAAGTGCAGAGTGAAGAATGCAAACATTTACAGCAATGGGGAGGTTAAGAAAAGGTGCCCCCATGACACCGACAGCCCAAACCCCACTGGACCCTAGAACTTGGAGGGGAGGGCAAAAGACACTCAAGAAGGAATTTTTAAGGGGACACATTTCAGGGAAAAGGCTGGAGAAACTGAACATTGATCCACTGCAATAAAGACACCAAAAGCAACAAAAACATTTTAAACAGTCATGACCTCTCTTAACAGCGGGTTCATCTATGGTCCCAGAAAAGGTGGCAGTTGGAGGCTCAAGGCTCCACCAGAGATCACAAGCATAGACGAGCAGCCTCACCTGGTTTATAAATTAGCCTATAAACACTGAGATCTCCAACTTTCAGAATTATGGCAGTCCCCGCCCCCAAGTTGGGAAACCCAATGAATTCCGTTTCCCTGCAGGGCTTCCTAACAGGAACCCACAGCAATGATCTTCTTTTAAAACTTGACCTGCTAAAACACGGACAGCAGAAAATTGAAAAGATAACATCATGGCTTCTCCTATCTACTAGCCTTTTGCAACGTGCTGGGGGAAACTATTAAGTGGCTTAAGTGTGTCTGTCTCAGGAGGAGGAGTGGGGGGAGGGGCTGGGTGTGGCGAGGAGGAGGTGCAGGTGACAGCGACCAGCGTGACTGCATTGGTCGAAACTCTTGCAAGAAGAGGACCACGGAAAGGGCGTGCTGATTTCGGTGACCCATCCGTGTGGTGGACTGAAGTCAAAGATAATGAGTTTTCGAGTCAGAAGCCACTGAACTCTCCTGGGATTTGCACAGTGGAGGGGAGTCACTTTACCTACTTCCAAGGTGGCTGCGAAGATTAAATGAAATAATGTATGAAAAGTGCTTAACAGGAGGTCTGGTGAAGAGGAAGCACTGGGGAAATGTTGTGACACGTGTGTGTGTGCATGCGTGTGAAGCGCCTCACCAGGAGTACGTGATTATCATCAACACCACCGCAAAGCAGCTTCTTATAGGGCAGGCAGCCGCACGGCTGTCTCTACCCCTGAAATATCAATAAGCACACGTCAAGAGAAAAGGCTGGAACACTGGAATCCCTCACAGGGAGCGGCATAAACTTCCCTTACTCTTCCCTCTACTCCGAGAACCATCATAGTTTACATCTCTGAAATTCTCCAGGAGGTTGGAAAAAAAAAGCAATCCGAGCACTCCCAGACTCCATGCTGGCCAGGCTATCCTGAAAGTAAGCAGAAACCAGGCACGCAGATCAGGCTCCAGGGAAGGGACTCCGCGCTGCCTCCTGCTCGCCCACTGAAGCATCCCAATGCGGAAGGGCCCCTTTGCAAGTGGCTGGCCCAGTGTAAGCCCTAGCTGATGGCACAGTGAATCCTAGCCTTTGCCCTTTAAACTACAGTGTTTCTCAAGAGTGTAAAGGACTAGCAGACCTAGCGTCCCACCCTCCTTATCTCAGCTGCCAGCCTCTGCGGGCAGAAAGGCACCCCACAGGGGCCAGGCTGAAAGCCTTTGGCCCGACACTGGGCAGTGTCAGGAGCTCCCGCCTCAGCAGCTCCGCGACCTCCACCGTAAAAGTGCACAATTCAGCTTTCAATCCTCTACAGAAAGGAGATAAATTATAAAGCCAAAAGGTTGGATGGGCTTAAAAGCAGGGGTCAGGGGGATGCGAGGGCAGAGCAACCCAAGATTCAGAACAAAGGTCAACAGAGTCTTCCAGTTACAGTCCCACTGCACCAACCACAGGCCTCCTAAGAACAGGAAGGAAGGGACCCCATCCCTCCCACCTCTCAGCTGCCCTATCTCCCCACCCTGTCCAATTCCCTGGCTCAGTGATGGGCTTATACTGGGCAGGGCTAGGATTCTTCTCTCCCCATAGGCTGTCACACTATAATATTTGCTCTGCTTCCTTCCTTTCCAAAGCCTAACAGATTAGATTGCAGAAGTCCTATCCAGCTTCCTAAGACAGATGGAAAACCGAAAGCAAGGCAACTCAAACTGCTCAGGGTAGAAAGAAAAGGCGGGGCAGTCCAATGTGTCAGCACGTAGACCCTCTTTTCCAAGCCCTGGGTCCACCTGCCTCATGAAGAACACAGGAAATCAATGAAGTACCAGCTAAATGCACACCATGAAGACCGTGGTCCTGCTATCTGGGTCTTCATAGCATTCCAGCACTTTCAGGAAACACCCAGCAAGCAAGCAAGAGAGCTGGTTGTTCAGGAGGATTTGACTGACAGAGCCAATGCTTCTCCCTTCCCACTTCTGCAGAATTTCTCCATAGGTAGGCACCAACCAAAACCTACATGTCTTCAGGATTTATTGTAACCTTAGTAAAATACAGAGCTCAATGCAGTTCAGCTCACTAGGAAGACAAGATGGGACATGCAGGCCCTACTTCCTTTTACAGAAGAGAAAAGAAAGCACCAATAAGGGAAAAGAAGGGCTTGCAAACTCTACCCAGGAGCAGGTGGTTTGCAAATCAATACCCAGGTGATCACCCTCATCTGTAAGGTGAGCAAGGCGCCCATCATGAACTAGCTGAAATACCACCAGGGGTGCCACAGACACTTTGTAAAAAGTGGGGCTTACAAAAGGGACACAAGGTCTAAAAGCAACATTCAGAGGAAACCTGCATGCACCAGCTCAGTGAACCGATCTCTATATGCTTGGGGTACTGCCACACTGCTCCTTGCCCTTCCATCCGGACAGATGCCAACAATCCGTGTACCTGCAGCCATTCATTCATTCATTCTCCCCTTCAGCAAATACCTGCCTAACACCTAGGCGATGTCCTACATCACAGTGGCCATACAGTCTAGACTACAAGCTAGACTTTTGCTATGCCAAAAGTCATTATTCTCAAGCGGCACACAAGGAAAAGAGAAATAGCTGAAATGATGGTGCTTTCCAAAAAGCCTCTCCTGGTTTCTTAAAGCATGCCGGATCTCTATTTTAGCAATCCACTTTGTGTCCGAGGCACTCGTGGACAGCCTGTGTCTGCCATCGGATGTAAGCTCCCTGAAGACAGAGGCTGGCCTTACTTCATCACTGCCTTTCACATCCTTGTTATCCATGACATGTCAAACGAATGCAACTGTGGAACAGAAAACAAACCATCCTATTCTTTCCAGACCTTTGGTTTCACCGTTTCTGAAGGCTTTGCCACCAGACAAAGAAAAATGATGGAGCTCCAGAAAGGAAGAGAAAGGGGACTGACTTAGATATATTAAGAACATGAGTACAATTTTGGAACTTCAGCCCAAGTGCAACCACCGCTCAGCGGGCTGAGAGCCACAGCTGGCTGGCATCCTGATAGAACGCTTTTCCCCTCCCTCTTTTCTGCTTCTCACGCTCCTCTGGAAAACCCCATTTGAAGTCCTAAAGAAAGAAAAGAGGTGTGGGAGAAGGAGTTAGAAGGGGAAGATTCAGCTAGAACCCAAACTCACGAAGAAGGAAGGAAACCTTAGGCGAAAGGCTGGGTAGGGGGGAGGGTTGGCCTCGGGGGAGGAGATGTGTGAGGCCCCAGTGGAGGTGGCCACGCCGCGCCTCCTCTCTGGAGGTGCCTGTACACTTCTCCTTCCTGCACGGCCTCTTCTGCCCCTTTTCGTCCCTTTTTTTTTTTTAATCTATTTATTTTTTGCTTTTTTGTTAGTTTGATGAAGTAACAGTCTTCAGAACTAGAGCAGAAAAGGGAAGCGTGTAAGGTGAGGAAGAAGTTGGTGAGAGCGAGAGACAGCTCTCTCAAGGGTGCTTTCCCAATCTGGCACCGAACCTCCGTTTTAGGACAGTTTTCCTACAAGTCACCCCCCACCCCCAGCCCGGAGTTCCAGAAGCCCCAAGGGCCCGGGCTGCACCCAGGGGAAAAGAAGGGATCTGCCTAGGGGAGCCCTGTAGGCCTGTCACGTAGTAAGGTAACAGGGGAAGAGGAAAACGAGGCTCCATGGCCCAATCCGAGCCCGAGGGACTTGCCTGGGACGCTCTCCGCTCTCCTCCCCTACCCGCAGCCCGGGCAGTCGTCGCGAGGCCGGTGCTCCAGCGCCAGAACCCGCAGCGAAGTTTCGCCGCTGCAAACGTGAGAAAATGCAGCTCAGCAGAACACCCGCCCCCCGCTCCCGCGGCCCCACCCCCGCAGCCCGACCCCTGGCGGTGGCGACCTTGGCCACCCCGGACGCTCCAGAAGACTGGAGGAGGGGCTGCCCTCCGGGATTTCCCGGGGGCTACGGGAGGCGCCCAGGGGCTGCGGCGCCCTTCCCCTTCGCCGTCCGCCGCCAGGGCAGGCGCACCCGGCCCCGCCTGCGCGCCCTCGGCGCCCCCGCCCGGGCTCCCCTGCTCCCCCTGCTCCCCAGCCTCGCCTGCCCCCGCACGCCCCTCCGCGCCTCGCTGCGCCCTGACCCGCGAGGGCGCCCCACTTACCCCGCCGTGCGGCGGCCGGGGCTCGGGCAGGGTGGGTTACATCGGGGTGGGACGCGCGTCTCCGGCGGGCCGGGCCGCCGCTCTCGGGGGATTTCTTTATCTCGCCGCCAAACTCTCGGTGCCTCTCGCTCCTCTAGCTCTCCTCCCCGCACCCCCACCCCTCCTTCTCTCTTGTCTCTCGGCTCTTTTTTCCGGGTTAATTACGTTTCGCATTAAAGCAAAACCCAGCCCCGGATGTGAGTACAATGCTCCGCCGAGCCCGCCGGGGGAGGAGAGGGGTGCCGGGGCGCCGCGGGGTGGGAGGGGGCGCGGCCGGGCGCCGCGGGCTGCGCGGAGGAGGCGGGGGCGGGGCGCCCGGGAGGCTGCCCCGGTGGCGGCGGGCCAGGCGCGGGCCGGGACCACCTCGCCGGCGTCGGCGGCCGCGCAGGTGGGACCGGGGCCGCCGAGACTGCCGCGCGGAGGAGGCCCGCCTCGGACGCCGGGCCCGGGCAGCAGGTGTCCGCGGCCGGAAAGGGGCCCGGGGCTGAGGGCATCCTGGAGCGAGGGAGGCGAGCCGGAGCCCGGGCTCCCTCTTGAAGCCCATTTCTGCTTCCCAGAGCCCCACCCAGCGACTTCAGCCCGGCCTCCCTCGGGTCCTGAGCCCTTGGCCTTTCTAGGGCCGCGGGGTGAAAGTTCAGGCTTGGGGTCTGAAGAAGGAACGATTCTCAGGGGTTGTCGTCAATGTGCCAGAAGAGTCCGCGGGCGCCGGACGTTTTAACGAGGGGTAGAGGGACTTTCTCAGTGTGACGCAAAGACGCCTTTCCTGCGCTCAGGGCAGAGGGTGCGCTGGAAAAAAATGGGAAACAGACAAGCATACATGAAGTAAATAATGCCAGGGGGGACCTGAGAGAATTACTGCGTGCCGGGGCAGCCCCTGCAGGATCTCGTTTGGATTCACGCAGCAACCGAACCGGTATCAAGCCCGTTCACGATGAAGAAACCGAGACTCAGAGACGTTAAGTAATTTGCCCTGGGTCCCACAGTCAGTCAACGGCAGGTCTGTCAGGTTCTGAGGCCGGCCTCCCACGTGTGGAGATAATTTAAATATCCATAAAGTCAGCCACAAAACCTCCGAAACAGGGACGCATAGTGGATTCACCAGTGGGATGGAGGACGGAGAGGTGCTGTGTCTGGGGACTCTGACGCAAATGTCTTGAGGCATTGAGGGACAGGAGGACAAAGGGAGATGCTTGGGGCTCTAGGACTGGGACTGGCTGTGCGAGAGTGATGGAAACGCTGTTGCAAATCCCACTATTGTCGGGGAAAGGCACGCTAAAAAGTCTCCAGGACCTGAGGCAACACAGCTGGGGAGTAGGGGACCGTGAGCACCGAGGGGGGCAGCAGGACGACACGCTGCGTGCAGCACACACCCCGAAAGCACCAGTGATGAAACCACACAAGTTTCCTCTTCCATTTTGATTGCCAAAGCAAAACTGAGCCGCCAGTTCTCTCAGGTGTGAAACTAAGGCTCTTTGCTCTAGAACAATTTGCTTCGAATGAGGAAGGAAAGGGGAACACAAGAAAAAAAAAATTTCCTTTGAAATAAATACATCAACCTCGGGTTTTTTTCTGCTTATGAAGAAGTTTCAGGCAACATAACGTCTTAAAGGAGAGTGTTCTCTGGAACCAGATGGACTGGGTTTGAATCCCAGCTCTGCCAATTATCAGCTTTGATCCCTGCCCAAAGGACAACATTTTTGTGCCTCGGTTTCTATTTGGGTTGTTATGAAAAGTAAATGAGTTAACATTTGTAGTGTTTAGATTACTGTGGAGCATGAAGTAGGTGTTACTTAAATGTGTTTTAATTTAAAAATTAGATTATGGGTTTCATCGTGAAAAGGAGCAAAATTCCACCCGGCTCCAAGCAAATCTGACTGGAACTGACAGTTTCCAGTGTGAGCAATGAGGTACAAGTCTCAGATTTCATGGTATGGTTCAGATTAAAACCCATAAAAGTCTACTCCCCATGGGGCCTGCCTGAGTCACTCACTCACAGAGCCACAAATATTTCCTGAGCACTACTGTATTGGATGCCTGGGAAGCAAAAGGAGCCAAAGGCCTTGGGTCTCATTAGGAGGATACAAGTGTCACTAGAAGGTTGACGCAGCCTTGTATCCCTCTTGGAAATGCTGTGAAAATAGCACAGAGGATAAGTATAACTGTACTTATCCTCTGTGCTATTTAGCCTTTAGAGGAACAGGACATCTGGAAGGAGAGGTAGAGGGGAGCTTGTATCAGAAAGGAAATGGACTTTGAAATGAGCCTGAGAAGATGGGTACAATTTTACTGGAGGGGGGCAAGAACACATTGGGCTAGGAAGAGGGTCATCAGTGCACTTTGGATGATGCTCATATTTCGCTGGGAGCCCCGTTTACAGTCCCATTTGCCCCTGCCCAGGACCTGGACCCAGTTAGACTACAATCTCTGGCCTGATTCCACTCCCCTATCCCCAGACTTCTGGTGTTCCTCAGTGGACTCCCCCGATCCCCTCCTGTAGGGGACACCACAAAGCAGGTGTCAGTTGGGCCTGCACCCTGCTGTGTATCCCCTTCGCTATCTCTTCATCTAGACATTTTGAAAATTACCCGATTTTATGCATTCATTATTTTCAGTGCAATAAATAGCTCTGGTGTCTGAAAATGTAACTGCCTGTGGGGAAAGGAATGTCAAGAAAGGGCCTTTCAGGGCACCTGGGTGACTCAGTCAGTTGAGCATCCAGCTGTTGATTTCAGCTCAGGTCATGATCTCAGGGTCAGAGGATCAAGTCCCGCAACGGGCTCTTGTTTAGATTCTTTCTCTCCCTCTGCTCTCCTCCCTGTGCTCCCTTGTGAGGATTCTCTCTCTCTCTCTCTCTCTCTCTCTCAAATAAATAAATAAATCTTTTTTTAAAAGCGGGGAGAGCCTTTCACATCACGTATTTCAGTCCCCTCATTGTGTCTGCAAGATGAGGTTCAATTTTGCTCAAGGTTTTGCAGCTAATTAAGGGCAGAGTTGGTTCTAGAACCCAGGATTGACTTTCCCCAGAATATTCCAGTGCTGACTTCCCCAGAATATTCTGGTATTCTAGTTTTGGTATAGGAATCTTTCTATGAAGGTGGAGACTTCTTACCCAGAACCCAAGAATCTAGACAGTAGTCTATACGCTAGCCATTTATTTGTGTACTTTCTATTTATTTCCAACATTAATGGCTGGGTAACTAGACAGCCTAATAACCTTAGATGGAGAGCCAGTGCGTCCTCTGGGCAAATGCATTGTTCTCTCTCCTTAAAGATACCGATTGTATAAGGTACCAGGCAGCAGTCAGGGCCCATTAGTTCCACTGGGGAAAGTGTGAGACTCAAGAGCTCATTGGCTGATCCTGGTTCAGGCCAGTTAATTTCACACAGAGAGAAATTGCTCCACGGCCATTCCACCTCTAATGCTAGTTGGTCATTTCATAGTTACTGTCGGTTTCCATAACAAAGTACCCTCCATTTCCAGAAAGATTACTCAAATTACTGTTCTCTTCAGTCCTATTCATTCAACAATTATGTGAACCTATTACCATTTTTCCTCCCACCAGGTATCTTGCATTTACTTATTATCCACGTGCTTGCTAAATGCTAATTGTTGTACGTGGATTATCTCACTTAAGTCTTAACTGGGAGCAAAATACTATTATGTTCTCATAGATAAGACAAGGAAGGAATAGAGACTGAGCCTAAATACAAACCAGTGCAACCAGCACAGCCTGATGCCGGAACCTTCCCTCTTAACCACTGACTTTGTGAAGGATACAGAAAGACCTAACACAGGGCTCCTTCCCATCCACATTTTCAATAATTGTCATCGTTTAGTATTTCCATTTCATCTCACTTGGTAACTTCATGTCCAAGGATATGTGCTCCAGATAGTCGTCTGGAGACATACGCAGTATAAATGGAGTATATGTGTCTGTGCACACATGCAGTGTATACATATGGAATATATACACACATACTCACTGCAGTGTTGTTCATAACATTGAAAATTATTTCCGTAAATAAAAATTATACATTTTTACTATATGCAGAAAGAGTAGAAGACTACATGCCAAACTGTTAACCACAGTTCTCTTCGGGTGAGGAAGGAGGGGTTATAATGGCATATCTCACTTTCTAAGAGATGTATTTCTGTAATGTTTCATTTTTTGCCATAAGCATGCCTACATCTGGTTTTCAAAAAACAATAATGGTTGAAATTTTTAATTAAAAAAACTTTAGGTTCTATTAGAAAGCATATTTTAGCCCTCAAGGAGCCCATCCTTGAGGCTGGGAGGGAATATAACATATACAGAAATAACTATCATAAAAGCCAGAAACTCATAACACAGATTGATGGACAGAGATACAATTCTGTGGGAATCAAACCAGCTCAGTTTGAGAGGTACGGGAGAAAATGTGTAAAGGAGATGGCACTTTGGGAGGACCTTTGCAGGAAAGGTAAGATGTAGAAGGTGGGGGAGTGGGTGAGAACACACCGCCTCCCAGTGCAAGACCGCATCAAGGAGAAAGCGTAGAGGCAGGAACGCATGGGATCCATTTGGGGAAGTGCGGCCAGTACAGTTCAGTGGGAGCCCGGGAGAGTAGATGGAGGACTGTGATGGGGAACAAAATAGGAAAGAAAGGTCGCTGGAGGGTCTTTGTTGCTAAGCTAATGACTTGTATTTATTATTTTAGGCTTCAAGAGCCCCTGAAGGTTTTGAGCAAGGAAGTGACACATGAATAAGCTGTGATTTCATGGTGACGGCTTAGTGACTGGACTCTAGCGCCAAGCCGTCAGGATTTGCATCCTGACTGTCACTAATTAGCTGCATAGTCATGGACCAGTTATTTTACTTCTTTGTGTTTCCATAAAACGGGGAAGGTGGTGATAACAGATAACCTATCTCATACCATTGTCTTTGAGATTGAGTGAATTAGTGTTTTTCAAGACACATGACAAGTGCTGAGATTGTTAAACTTAAAAAAAAAAATAGCATGATACCTTTGGATTGAGATCTTTGCATTTCGTTTTGAAACTTTTATTACAAAGAGCTAACATTACATGGTAAATTATTAACTGTTCCTTCTTTTCCCTCACACAGGTTTAGAGATTATTAATCTCCTTTTACAGGTGGAAGAATTTA